CGTTAGGTACACTCTGTCCCTCTTCAAGTCTAATGCACCACTGTGGTCTTTCTTTCCTTCCTTCTTTCTCTCTTAGCTCCACTTACGAGGGAGGACGTGGTATCTTTCCCTCTGTGTCTGGCTTATTTCACTTAATTTTCTCCAAGCTCATCCATGTTGCATCCTCTTCTTTTTCTTTTGGTGGAAATTGTATCTATTATTTCTACCTCAGGTGCAAAGTAAATACAAGGATGAAACATAGGATGGAATCTTCCCCTAGCAAGGCTCTTGCAAGTGCAGGCATCAGAAAGAATTGGGAAAGGGGTAGAGATGTTGATAAAGCCTTGCTCCTTCATTGGCCTTGGTACAGGCTAGTCAGTTCCAACTGTAACTGACATGCCAGTCAATTCCGATGCACAGGTAAGTTGAGAACTGCAGGCATCCCTTGGACGGGAAAAAATCTGGCAGAAGGGAAGAGATGAGAACTAGTGTGTGCACCTGGCACAGAAGCCCTAGGAAAAGGTGGCCACTGCCCCAGGTCACCAGTTCCCAAGGTAACTAGTCAGATCAGAGTTTTACAGGGGGCAAAGAGGCTGAACCATCATATACTCAGACTAATCTGCCAGCAAAAGGAAGGGGTGAAAGGTGAGGGGCCCAGAAAACTTCTAAGAGGGCTGACAACCTTAGCTGCAAAGTCAGGACAAGACAGCAAAGATCCCCAAGAAGGAACCACTGGAGGTCATGTAAGGAAATTCCTTTCTCACGCAGGTCAGAGATTTCCTGGTGTTGTCTGGTGTGCACAAGCAGGGCTCAGCCCTGGGTCACCAAGAATGGCCCTCAACTGGGGAGAAAACCGAGGCAGGGATAAAGAATTCCACCTGTGCTGGCATTGGTGCCACCAGCTCTACTGGCACCGGCGGTCTGAGAACCTTGGTCCGGCATCCACACCACCCAAGAGGGCTGGGGATGGGTAAGGGGCCCAAGACCCTGGAGGCGCTAACCTGTGCCAGCCGAGTCAATCTGTGTTTAGTCTCCATTGTGACTAAGAAGCCCATTTGCTTTCATGCTTTAGATTTTGTTTTCCTCTAGTTTCCTACTAAAAAGTCTTTTTGAAAATTGCCACCACTTTCTCACCTGAACCAGGAACAACAGGACATTTCCACAGCTGAGAAATATCAGTGAGCATGATCAGGGCGGGCATCATAGGCAGACAAAGGAGCACATGCGTGGACGGGCCCAGTCCTGGAGCACGTGAGTGGACGGGTTCATTCCTGGGTCCAGGAAAGGCCAGTGGCACTGGCAGCACACAGAGAATGAGAATCTGAGAGGGGTAGAACTAGCTCCACAACTTGGAAGACACAGTCTAAAATGAGAATGTGGGGCCCCCTGTTTAAAATGAAGAATTTTTTAATGGCGATAGCAGAGCATTAAGCAAAGCCCAGGCCTTTCTGAGTGTGGGGCCAAGTCCAACTGCACAGGCCACGGACCTATGAAGTCAGCCCTGGAGAGGCCAAATCATCAGGGGCACTCAAGAAGTTTGATCTTGGCCTACCTGGGCATTCCTCTGAAATCTGTGCCGTTGTCTGTTACCCACACTTTGTGGTCCTCACCCACCATAAAGCTGCTGATCCACCAAAGCTGATGATCTGAAAACTGTACTTTGTATGTATATAAAAAAGCTTGGACACCCATAGAAGAAGCACATTAAAATATATGAACACTTATTACTTGTTAACGATAATTCAGCTTCACGGTGTAATAAAGTTTATCCTTTTTAACACAGAAAGTCATTGGGAGTATGTAATGCATCCATTTTCAATATTTGACCTACTGATTTTTTAACTACTGTAATATAAATGACTGGGGAAAATATTAAAGCCGTGAAAAGCTGGAGGAAACCACCAATGTTCAGAATACAGAATTGCCTTTATTGCAAGTGCATTGGCTATGTAAGAGGAGACAAAAAGCACAGATTGAATTTCCATACTGAAATGATTTGAAAATTGAAGAAGGCAAATTTTAATGGATATGATATGTTCTTAGGATATCTATGTTTAAAAGTTTTCATAATGAAAAAGGTAGATGGTTTCTGGAGATAGACTATAACTTTACCCTTGTCTGGCCTATAGAACAAAATCTGAAGGCCTTAGGATTCTAGAAAAGCGTTGTGTTTAAATGAGGCAGCTTCCAAGCCTGTCAGTCCAAGTTCAGACCCTGCTTTTCCGAGTAACCACTTGGAGGGGATATTGTAGAGGCAAATTCAAGCCACAGGAGGGAAACTGGGTTGAATGAGATCCCCTGTTAAGTTCCTTCTGGCTCCAGGAGTCCACCGGCTCAGTAAAGTGAAGTAGACAACTGGCAGCAGCACATTCCACATCCGCGAGGGTGCTCCGACTCCTCTGCTTTCCTGTTAATCCTCCATGTACTTCTCACACTTGCAGGGGAGCCTCCTGTTCCATCGCACTGACCATGACAGGGGCCTCCATAGGAGGGAATCCTGGAGAAAGACGTATTTCAGCTCAATGTAAGGCAGAGCTGGACCTCCATGGAAGGATGGAGACTTGGTAGATAGACCTGGGCATTTGATCTCGAGCAAGCAGCTCAAATTCTCTGAGCCTCAGTTTCTTTAGCAGTAAAATGGGATAGTAGCACCCACTGCATAGGGTGAGAATTGAATCAGATATCTTATAAAAGGGCTTAACCGAGAGTACAGGATATAGCTAGTCCACTAAATATCCTTTCCCTCCTTTCTCCTTTCCTCTCCCTGTCATTAACGGGGGGCTGGGGGTGCAACTTTAAGGGGATTTGGATTCCAGTTGGTGGAAGGAAGGCTCCGCTGTAAGGGAGACCAGGATGAACAGGAGATTGCAGGGGTCACAGGGGAATGTGGGTGGCAGGCAGGAGGCGCAGATGGTAGAAGGCCCTGCAGTCCAGACACAGGGACCTAGGCACAACGAAGCGAAGAGCTGGGAGGCTCGCTGTTGTCACTGATTTTCTGTTCCTTCTCCTCTTCTTCTGGTAAGTGCTCTGCTCAAAATTAAGTGGGTTAAAAATAACAGAACTCATTTTCATGAACTCAGACTTCAGTGGCTGTTTCCCCATAATTAGAAATAACACAAGTCTGTCCCAGGCCCACCCTGGAAAGCAAAACAAAACAGTGTCCCATGACAACTCTTCCTGGTTCCACTGGACACAGGCATGGAGGGAGGCCACCCTTCAATGCACACAATATTGGCACCTCATTCATAGGGCGCTGTGACCTGAAAGATGAGGAGGGCAGGGCAGGCATGAGTGGCCTCTTTACTCACCTTGCACCAGCCAGCCCCAAGGCCGGAGTGCACAGGCAGCCTGGGGTGACCAGGGCCTTTTGTGGGCAGCTCTTTTGCTTCTCTATGACTGTCTTTTAAATTGGGATTGAAGGGCCGAGCCCATGGCGCACTCGGGACAGTGCGGCACTGGGAGCGCAGCAGTGCTCCCGCCGCGGGTTCGGATCCTATATAGGGATGACCGGTGCGCTCACAGCGCTCAGGGTGCGGCCGGTCTCAAAAAGGACAAATAAATAAATAAATAAATAAATAAATAAATAAATAAAAATAAATTGGGATTGAAAACTCCTACCTCAATGACTATTGTGCCCAGCACAGGCTAATCCACTTATAGATGATTCCCTGAGGCAGGAATTATCCCTGACATCTGAAACATTAATACTAAATGGAATTAATTATCTAGAGAAGAAAGCAAGGTGATTAGAGTCACAGGTTCAAGAGCTGAGTTCAACTACCTGCCTCACTGAAGAAAGTCAGTTCAGGCTGGCCAGTTAGCTCAGCTGGTAAAAACACAACCTCATAACACTGAGGTTGTGGGTTCGGATCCCCCCCACCGGCCAGCTGCCAAAAAAAAGAAACCGACAAGAAAGTTGATTTGATGCCGTGAATCTGTTTATTGAGCAACTACTTTCTAAAACAGAGCAGCCTACCCCCCACACTCTTCCTGTTGATTTCCAGGCACAGAGGGCAGAGGTGAAGGCTTTTACAGGCCCTTAGCATAAGTAATAGAGCGTGGCTACCAACTGGATTATCCCAGGGATGGATCTCTAAGCCTCAGTTTAACCATCTGTAAACCTCTCCTCATGGACAGGTGATGGGCATAAAAGAAGAAAACTATTGTAAAACTCCTATTACAATTCCTGACTCTTAGAAGGTATCAACTACCAGGAGTTATTTTTCATTTGCCGTAAAACTAACAAAAGATCTCATTTTTATTGATGCTTTATAACAGAAATAATATATACTAATACACACTCATATACACAAATTATAAAGAAATAATATAATAAAAACATATAAATTTCTCTTTATAAGATAGATAATATCAAAACATCTAAAATTTCAATTAATTCCAAACACTAAAACATTTATCATTTTATTTTTTCTCAACTTTGCATTCTAAATAATAATAACAATACAAAGAGCTTACTAACTGTCATGCACTGTTCTAAGCATTTAATCCACCCAATAACCCTCTGAGTAGGTACTGCAATGAACCCACTTTACCGATGAGAAAACTCAGGTACAGGAAGATTAATTAACATGACCAAAGTCACACGACTTTTAAGAATATTCCTTTCGTTTGCATTTGCTTGTACCTGTCTCACCCTTCCCTTTGCATTCTCTCTAGGCCTCCTGACCAGTGGTCCAGTCAACCATAATCATGGTAGACGCTAACTTTCAGCAAGTCGCCTTGCTCTCTCCCCCTTCCTCTCTATCTGTCCACGTGCCTTCTTCCTATCAACATTACCTAAAGGCAGTGGAAGGCTGCTTGGTACCAAAGTGGAAGACTTCTCCAAATGTTTGCAAATTTCCACTCCTCCATCTCCTTTGGATACATTGTTTGTAAAGCCTAGCCCTTCCTAAGGAAAAGCCCGTGGGAGAAGAGGCAACAAGATAGCAGTGGCATTCCTTTGTCATCAGGAGACTGGGGAGGAAAAGACAGGATTTTCAACAGCAGCCTGGTGAGGGGAAATGAAATGGCAGAACCTACAGAAATGGTGTCAGTACAAATGCAGCTGCCAGCTGAAAGGCCAAAGAGCCACCCTGCAAGAGCTTTTCTGTGTTTCAGCAATGAAGTGGACTCCCAGGTGAGTCAACATAGAGCGGGGTTGGGGGAACGTGTTACCAGAGAGGTGACATCCGGTGCATGCACGAACAGGTCCAGTGACCCATTCGGAGGGCAGGAAGGCAGCCCCCCAGCAGTGCATGAACTGCCGAGCCAGACTGTCACCTGCCCCTGCTCACTCCCACCCCCTTCCTCCCCAGGAAAAAGGAAGTCAAGTAGATGAAGAAATGGGGAAGTCTGAGCTGCTGCAGCAGTGGCATTTAAGGGTCTGTATAACAGTTGACTCTCATCCCCAGTGAAACAAAAGCCTCTGCCATGAAAATGATCAGCAAGGGGTTTCTGGAAACGTTTCCTCGGGACACAGAGGAGAAGGAATATTTTGCACACTGCTTTGTGTGTCTTATAAATAATCACGATTAGCTTTCTTTATAACCAGCGGGGCTTTTGTCTTTCACATGCCATTTGCAGGTTCACGGCATGGTATTTGTCATTTTCAGTAGCAAGTGGGTCACTGGTACTCACAGAGTAGGTGCCATTTTGTAAACTGCTCCTTTCTACCTAAATCTGCCATTATTTCCCGATGCACTTCAGAAATGTCCTGGTGATGAAAATGTACTCTTCAAAAGAGTTCGATTTTTAAATGTAATCTTAAAATATTAAGATAATGAGATTGTAGTCTTTAGAATTCAACACAGTCCTCCTTAGCAATCCCTTTTATAATTTACAAAAATGGGGAACAGGAAGATAAAGAACTTCCTCATAGCCAGGCAGCAAGTCAATAGCAGAACTTGAACTTGACTTATTTTTTTAAGGGAGAGGCCTTGTGCTCTATTAACTCCAGACAAGTTACACAATGAATATTAGGGTTATTTGACTTGAGTGCTCACAAAAATTAGAGCGATGAAAAAATATGGATGTTACAGTGATACTTAAAAAAAAAAAAATCACTAAGGGTGCTTCACCTCTCACCAAGTCAAGGCGAAGGCAAGAAGACAAAGAGGGCCGGGCGGGGCGAATGCCCTCCACTGGTTTGAAAGCTGAGTCACAGGCACTGTACCCCTGTAGTGGGTGAGGCCCTCGAGCGAGGGACACCGCGCCGTTGCTTGGGATGGCAGCAGTGGACAAAGCCCGTTCCGCAGGAAAGGAATGCCTGTCCCCCTGGGTGCCACCCAAGCCCTTAGTTATCATGCGCCAGTCCCCAAGAGCAGGTTTGCGCTGCTGTTGCAAAAATTCGTTATAGTAAAATAAGCATACGAGGGGAAATGCGTTACGGAGGAAATGTTGGAAGGAGGGCTTCTGCTCGTTTTATTTTCCGCCATCGTTGTGGTTAGGGTGCACTGGTGAACACGGGGCGGGGTGGCTCCCAAACGCGCGGCGGGCCTCCGGACGCCTTTCCGGGGACGCGGCGCGAAAGAGTTAAGCGGGCCGCGGGTGACATCACCTCATTTACATAGCAGCGACCATATAGCGGCGCTCGGCGCGCCCCACCCGGCACTTGGCGGCGACCACTGCACAGACCCGGTTCCACTCGCTCGCGTGCCTCGCTCCGGTGAGCCCCAGCGCCCCTGCCTCCTGCCCTTTCCCTTCCTGGCCCCGGGTCCCCTTCCTGCGGCTCGCCCCCTTCGTCGTCTGCATCGCTATCAAAGCAGCCCTGAAGCTGAGCCCCAGAGGTGTCCTCCCTGGGAAGGTTGATTTGGGGAGCTCGGGGATGCTCAATCCTTCTAGATGCTGGGGAGTGGGATCGGGAACTTGATTTATTTTAAAACGCGTTTTGCCGTGTAGACTGGAGGGAGTCTAGGTTCTTGCTTCCTCCCCCTCAGCCCAGCTCCTCCTCCCCAAGGCATTCCGCATTGTCTCCGAGGCTGTGATTACTCGGGAACAGTAAGACCCTTTGTTGTAACGCCCAGCCAGCCGCAGCCCCGAGCTGCAACGACTGCATTTTTGCTCCTAGGCTTTGAGGGCTGTGTGTGTCCGGGTTTCAGGTGGCTGGGCGACAGTGCGGGAATGTGAAAGTCCCTCCTGCCGAGGAATGTGTGCCAAGGCTGCCGAATTGCCCCTCCGTGCAGAAAGGATGACTTAACGGGGCGGGGGGCGGGCAGGGCGGTGGTCGCGGCTCCGGCGGCAGCTGCCGCCTTTGTGAGCAGGCGAGGAAGCTGGCCGGCCGCGTGTGTGCGGGAGAGGCCAACGCCTAGACAGGGGAACCAGTTTTTGCGACACTGGCTCCGTTTTAAAAATGTTGACTCGATTTTTTTCCACTTCACTGTCCTCTACTCGTTCTGGCCAGGTCTGAATTTTGGAACTCTGCAATTAACAACCCGCGGTGGTCCATTGCATCCCGCAATTGAGGCCCTGAGAGGGATCGTCCCTCTTGCGTCCCTGCGTTTTGAAATATCGGGGTGGGGTGGGAGCCCTTTTTCTCTCTCTGTAGAAAGAGGAAGGGCTTTGGCCGGAAGGAGGAGCTGGGGTTTCAGGCTGGAGATCGGAGGGGACAGGCCGGGGCGGGTGGCTTGCTCTCACTCTCCCGCTTGGCTTTGTCCCCGCAGCTTCCTCCGCGACCATGTCTGACAAACCCGATATGGCTGAGATCGAGAAATTCGACAAGTCGAAATTGAAGAAGACAGAAACGCAAGAGAAGAATCCACTGCCTTCCAAAGAAAGTAAGCTGCGACCCCCCGCACCACCCCCATCTTCAGAAAAGCTTGGGCGGGAGCGGCGAGGGGGGGTGTTGGAGGGCGGGAGAGGGGCGTGGCTGCGACAAGAGTCGGGGTGCGCGGGGGCGGAGTGGGCGGTTGGATGAATGAGGCTGGGAAAGCTTAATGAAAGGTTGTTTTGCAGCCAGCAAACACAGGGCTTTAGTAATTTACCAATGCAATACTTTACAGACTGCCTGTGTACTTAGAGAATGTTTATATGAACACATGTTTTAAATGCAAGGACTATCATCATCTGTTTGGCCACACTGAACCCTCTTACTCAGCATCCTCCATCTTTTTTCTTTTTTGTCTTTTTCCCGGTCACAGCTATCGAACAGGAGAAGCAAGCCGGCGAGTCGTAATGAGGCGTGCCCGGCCGATATGCACTGTACATTCCACAAGCATTGCCTTCTTATTTTACTTCTTTTAGCTGTTTAACTTTGTAAGATGCAAGGAAGTTGGATCAAGTTCAAATGACTGTGCTGCCCCTTTCTCACATCAAAGAACTACTGACAACGAAGGCCGCGCCTGCCTCTCCCATCTGCCTGTCTGGCTGGCAGGGAAGGAAAAGAACTTGCATGTTGGTGAAGGAAGAGCTGGGTGGGACGACAGTGAAGTCTAGAGTTAATACCAAGCTGGTCCAAGGTGTCCTGCAGGCTGTAAAATGCATTTTAATCAGAGTGCCATTTTTTTGTTCAAATGATTTTAATTATTGGAATGCACAATTTTTTTAATATGCAAATAAAAAGTTTTAAAACGTGGCTGGTGTGACTGGTGTCTGGAAGGAGCGATTTATTCGCCGATTAAATCTTTGCAAAGGCGCCTGCCTCTTGGTCTCACTGGGGAGCCATAAGTGAGAAACATCTGGTGATTTGGTAAATTCCTTGCGGCATAGAAATGGGTTTCACCCAGGTATGTGAAATACCTTGTCTACACTAGGTAACTGGGAGATCATTTTCGTAGGCTGATCGAGTTCCTAATATGAGTCATATGAAAACGTTAATAAAAATATATTTGCATATTAATCTTTATGGGTTTTGATAAGCCAACACTGAATTTATTGCATATGCTCAAGAAGATAAAGGCGGTAATTTACAGCACGGTATCTTTATTTTAGATACGAAATTGAACTTTGTTATTTAACTGATTATAGCATTGGCACAAATAGAATTAAAGCAGACTTGTCGCTAAAATGAATAAAAATTACATTTTTAACAGCTGCTTCAAAAAGGAATTGAGGATTGTGCTTCCTCATTGTCTAGTGGCTGGTTTCCAGTTAAAATTCAATATTTACAATTGCTTTTATAAAGTGATAAGTGCATTTACCATCAATATGATTTTTAAATTTGTTGAATCCTCTTAATGTGAATTATAAAACTTCAGATTTAAAGGACACTTCCTAGAACTTTTGGATTTAGAGAACACTAGCAGGACATAGGCGAAATTTGTAGCAATTTTAAGTGCAGCAGGAATTAATTGGCTTATATCCAGGTCTTGCTTTTCCTGAGTCCTTGATAACTTGTCATTCAAAGTGTGTATTTTAACTGGTGGGTGAAAGCAAAGCCCTTGTTTTGGTCACTTCACGTGTGGGAAGAGAGGGAAATAAGGTATCAACTAAAGGTAAAAGATAGTCATTCTTAACAAAGGTCCTTAATGGATTCCTCAGTTCTGTAAGGAAGGATGCAGGTATCATTAAAAATAATATGAGCGCCAATTTTATTAAGCCAAAACAACAGCATTTAAGAATGGTAATTCACCCAATATCTCAGCGAATTTAAAATTTACAATCCAAATGTTTAAGAAGTTAGCTTTTTTCCCTAAAAACTGACTTATGAAAGTACCCGTTTCAAAGGGGTGGGGGAGGGAAAATTGTTGATCATTATTAAACCGGTTGATTTCATTTCCTTTGCTCAACCCTTATTTTGAGAAATGCACAGGAAACCATTTACCTGTGGTTTAGACCTCAAGTAGGCCATCAGCTAGAAGCCTTTATCTGCCTTGCAAGGGAAGCGTTGTGCACTGGCTGCCGCAGAGCCCAAGTGCCACAGCCTGTTCGAGAGAAGACCACACCTGTGAGCACAAAGGTTCTGGGAGCCATGTCAAGATGCAGGCAGGCCGGCTACCCTGTAGTTTCTTTTCTTGCCTGCAAGGAAAGGTGTAGGAACAATGAAAATGCCCAAGGCACAGAGGTCAACAGTCTCACTTAGGTTTTTGCTGCGTGCATTTTTTCAAACAATACAAGCATGAAAGATTTTAAGAAATTCACCCAACTCCAGTGTTCCTCAGTTTAAAAAGGAGCATTAAGAAAAAAAAGGATGATACATCAGATCAAGTGATGGAAAAGAAGAGTTTTCTCTCTGGGGAGGACAAAGCTAAAATGTAGCAACACACACACACACACACACACACACACACACACGAAAATTAAAAATCTGGTGATGATTGAATGTTGGCTGCCTGGCATGTGAGTTGGGGAAATTCAGAAGCTTCAGCCCATATCACACTCTGTACACTTAACTGCTGCACATGGGGGTCGGGCTTAACTGCTGTTCACAGGGAAGGGAGAGTGACATTTTTTTTTTTTGATGGGGGTTCTCTTTTCTTCCCAAGAGAGATGCTTCCCAGAAGGGCTGGGGCTATTTATGAATTCCCACAAATTTATGCTCCTGCTATCTGCTATTTAAGAGCTTGGAGCGGACACTTTTTCACAGACACAAAGGGGACATTAGGTTTACCGTTAGAATGAAAGAACGTTCCAATTGAAGAAGACCCTTGCCACCATATCCAAGGTAGCTTAAGTAAGAGCTGAGGGTCACACAGTTTTGTCTAGGACTTCTCAAAATTTTGAATTGATCAAGACAAGCAAAAGCAGAGGAAATTAAAAGAGGCTCACTAAAGGACCCTTGGGACAGAGCCAACTTCATTTTTAAAATCTCACAAATTTCTCAACCGTTACATTCACATTTTCGGGTCTTCCAATGGATGGGAAAAAAAAAAAGCTATTTTATTCTTAAAGCTATTTTATTCTTTCAAGAGAACGACACAGCTTTTGGGCTGGGGTGTGCAAGGACTGAGTGGGGATGGAGGCGGGGAAACACACAAAGGCTTCGCCAACGTTGAGCTGCTCGGCTGTACGAGGCCTCTTTCATCCCTTAAAATCAGAGCTGGGTATTGCCTTTTTTAAATGCACAAGGAAAATATTTTTGTTTCCCCAAAGAAGCATGTAATTCTTCAAGACACAAAAATAAAATAATTTTGTGTTATTTCTAAACGTATGTGGTGAGTTTCGTGCTTACTAGAAGTACATTTTGGTAACAACATTACAGCCAAAAAATGTTTTAAGAAAATCTTCAGTCATTCTTAGTTCAGGAATACAAACTTAAAACATAGTTTAATGACATCGAAAGCACTTAACACTTCATTTACCTTCACTGGCCTAGCAAGAGAATAAGAAAACACTTCCCCAGGACCCTTCAAAAATTCTCACTTTTAGATTACACTTTCAAGATTGGCTTGCACTGTAACCTATGAGAATTAAACACACCAATTTGGGGTTGAACTATATTTTATTTGCATGTAACAAGAAGGGGCTAGATTACAAACTTAAGGCACAGATGTACAATGAAGAAAGCTAAGAAGAAAATGTCTCTAAGATCTGTGTTTTCTTGGCTTTGATTTTCCTTGGATACTTAACTGATGGAGACTTCATTTAACAAACTTGTTTGGGGATACCTTTGAACATGTGAATGTTGTGCTAGATAGCACAATTTAAAATACATTTTATAAAATATATTTAAGGAGCTTTGAATACTAATTTGCCACTGTACTTGGTTGTGCTGATTTAAATCAATATTGATAGCCAACTACATATTATTAAGCCAGTGCACTAGATCATTAGTTCACTTCACCAACATTTATTGATTGCCAAGCACATGCCAGGTATTTTATTTGCCACAGAGATAGTCATAAATAAGATGCAGTCCTTACCTTTCTGTATCCTCTAGTTGTCAAAAGATGCCTTTTGCATCTAACTCTGAGTAGAAAATGCTCAGAAATTATTATTCTCCATTTTTAGGGTATGTGATAACCCCAAGGTTTTGAATTTCTAAATGAATTTTAATATCTATCCTTCACTTTAGTGTGGACATTTTTCCAAATGCGTATAGTTATTACGTTTAAATTCCTCCAAAAACTCAGTGGTGAGTGACTTTAATGCAAAACAACTGATTCTCTCACTGCAGTCTAATATTTTATCAGCATGGAAAGATTGAGCATGATAAATCTTGCCTGTTATCTTCTGAGAATTCTTTCTGAGGAATGCCCAAGATCTAGGAATGAACTGGATGGATAGCATTTTAAAATCTATCTTTTGCTAGGATTTTGTGATTTAGATGTTGAATTTCCAGAGAAACATTTGTTATTGCTAAATCCTTGCCCTGTCTTTGTTCGCCTTTTCTCTCCAATTGGACTGTGAGATTGCTAGGAGCAGAAAAGGTTGCTCAAATTTGGAAATCCCTCGGACAACCTAGCAAAATGAAGATTACCTGAGGATATCCGTAAGTATAGCACCTGGCCAGCTGAGGGCCAGGTCACATTTGCTTAGTAGGATTCCACAGCTTGGTGTGTCAATGGAGAGAGATAAGTTATGTTCATGATCTATTCGAAGCAGTTGGATCTATTCCTGTCACATTATTGTCAAACCACAGGAAATTATGCCTTTCCTCATTACCACATTGGGCTCTGTAAGAGGCTGATAGCTTTTACTACAAAGAGACTTTGTGGCAATGTTTTCACAATCTAGAAACAAAAATATTTCATAAGATTAAAATATGTATGTATATGTTGAATGCTATGTGGTTATTTCTACCTAAAATAATGGCTTGCTTGGAGGGTGGAAAGAATCATTCTTTACTCAATAAACATTGATTGAGCACCTACTGTGTGCCTGGTTCTTTCCTAGTTGCTGTGAATAGGAAGATGACAAAGACCCGGGCCTGGTCTGGGCCTGATGAGAAAGGCAGATCCGTGTGAGTGAACAGCCACGTACATCACGAGCCACTAACACCACAAGCCACATATGTGTTCATTTACCCAATAACTCTTCACCCAGCTTCTGTTTTCGCCCAGTAATACATGAGCTGGGAGATAAACTGGAACCAGCTTGTGAAGGGTCCCTGTTCCTAGCTAAGAAGTTTAAATATTACCCTTAGGCAATTGGAAGATAACAAGTAAAATCATTTAGTCCACATGAGGCAGCTCATAGACTCTTTATGTTCAGAAATGTAGCTGTATAGAAAGTAGGGCAGAGAAGAAACTGTCCCCGCTTGCCATCGAAAAAGCAGATTAAGATCATCAGTGTTACAGTGACCTAGGACAAGAAGGTAATAAATCTTACTTTTATTGGTATTTCTTAGTCCACATTTCGGTAAGATGGGCTTGTAACGCCTCTACTTTTCATGTTCATTTGCTACCAGTTTTTATACTGGTGTGGACAGAGGGTTAACAGATTTGAAATGATTAAAATCACAGTTTTTGTGCGTGGCATCTCTGAGGTTTGTAGTGCCTTTTACTAAGGTTTGTACATTACAAGCTGGTCTTCAGTCATGTTATTAGGCTGCCTGTAACAGATTCCCACAAACTTGGAGGCTTAAAACAACAGAAATTTATCCTCTCCCAGGTCTGGAGTCCAGAAGCTTGACCTTGAGGTGTCAGCAGGGCCACGCTCCCTCCAAAGGCTGTAGGGGACAATCCTTCCTGGCAT